AAAGTTTTTCAAGTTTCAATAATTCTATGTCTATTAATGAATAGTTAGATTTTCGACTATTTTGAATAGAATGAAAAGTGTTCATATTATAACAAAATTATTCTTTGTTATGTAAAAGCAGTGCTAATTATATTACATCATCAATCGTGTATTCTAGTCGCAAAGTATAATGGCACAATAGACTCTTGCATGATAAATATCTTTTTAGTATGTTTGATTAAACTAGAGGCACATCGATTTTAATATCAGAATCACATAAAAATTTTCTTTTCAGTCTAGTTTTCACTGACAGCGTGTCATCTAGAAAAAGTTGTCCTTAACGTACGGATAAAAACACGAGTTAATTACAGGAAAGAGACAATTTTTTTCCTTCTCACTGAGTTTGACGTATCAATCGATATTTCTGTTATGTCCGGAGAGATATCTCCTGACATAAGCAGGTTCTCTCTGTTCTTCAATACTATCATCGTATCATGTTATTGGTATTCTTCCCCTTCATTTTATGGTATTTTTATGCTGCATATAAGGAGAAGGTATAGAATGAAATAAGAGAGAGAGAGAAGCACATTTTTTGTTTTTTTTAAATCGGAATCGAAATAACAAAGAAAAGGAGAAAAAAGTATAACAATTTCTATTGCGTAATTCGACGAAAACAAAAGAGATGTTCTGCATTAGACATTTCAGACGAAGTTCACTAGTCGATAAGATGCCAACAGTTCATGATTTCTCACAGAACACGAAGCAAATAATATTTAATGCGATCAAATTTATAGAACGTGAAAAGAGTGGTTGTTTAATTCCACTGAATAACATGAATGATCGTATTAAATCTATTCTTAGTATTTTAATGAAATCAGTTGAAAGATTAAAGTGAAAAATAAGAGAGCAGGAAAGGGAGCTGCTGGAGAAAGAAAACGAATTGATTGAATTACAGAAGAAACGGGATCAAGAAAAGCAAGACAAAGAAGATACGACGATTTGAGCTACTTGTCGGGTTCAAAATTCACGTGCCAGATCAAGATCATCATCATCATCAACTTCTGCTGCATCGGATAGTACCACGACAATATTCAAACTTGTTGCTAGACCATCACAAAAACATAGTCATGTTGGTCGTTCATCTATCATTTTGATGGAAGCTGAAAAAGAAAATGTTAGGTGAGTACTTTACGAGAACAGACTTTTCAACATATGTGGACTTTTTATAGGTTCCATGTTCATCTGATGTTAGCTAAACGAATACACCCAACCACAGACAAAATTCTTACTTGAATTTTGAGTAATGATCCTGATTTTCAAATTCGTTCGGCGTCATCACTGTGGCGTTGGATGAATAAATTAGGTTTGCATATAAAAGAACGTCAAAAGTTGTTGTGCCTCTCGATTCTTCCTTCTACATGGCAGCTCGTGCACGTTATTTTGCAAAGATCGATGGATCGAGAAACAATGAGACGGTTATCTTTGGCAAGATGAAACATGGTATAATCAGAACGAAGATAAAACTTTCGTGTGGAGCGATAGAGATACAGGTATCGGTCATCCACGACAGAATAGTGCCAAAGGTATGATTTCTCCTCTCGTTAAAATGACCTATGACTTTTTTCCTTTACAGGGCAACGGCTCGCTATTTCTGCATTGATGGACACCTCAGATTTTCATGCATCGTCCAATGATATATTTTAATGTAAGGAAGATCACCATATGAATTGACGCCATTTTTTGGAGTGGATTGATCCTACTGCTTCAGTTCTTCGAAAAGAACTTGGTAATATCTGTTTCTTGTTATTTCTATTGTTATATTCAAGCTTAGGGGAACATGGACAAATTGTTTTGGTCATCGATAATGCCACATGGCATAATCGACTTACAGATGGCACAATGCCGCCAAAAAAATCATGACGCAAAGAAACCATTATACAATGGCTCAATGGTCATAATATAATTGTTCCTACAAAAACTGTCAAAGCTGAATTACTTGAGGTTGCTTTGAAAAATCTACCCGAAAAACTATATGAAATCGATGAGGCAGCAAAACAATACAATTTTGATATTTTACAGTTAGTTGTTAATCTTATATCTTCTTTTAATCTTGAAATAAGTATTTATAGCTTGCCCGTTAAACATTGTTTGTTCAATCCAGTGGAGTTGCCATGAGCAAGATTGAAGCAATATATGCGAGACTAGCGAGAACCCGTGCGTGCTCCACGATCGTTTGTTTTCATCACCAAAAGAAAAGTTCATCTGACGGTGAGAAAATTGTCAAAGACGTAGTTAGAGGTCTTACCTCCACTATTTCTAAACAAGTTATTTAGATGGATAGCACATGTAGTGGGGTGTAGATTGGGAGTAGGGGTATTGCATGCAGGTGTAATGTGGATCAGTGACGTGCACCGCGCAGGCCGTTTTTACTGCTCGAGCGGCCGTACAATAGCAGTTGGATCATGTTAAAATTTGCAATTTCTTGAAGTTGACACTAGAAAAGCCGAGTTAAGTTTAATGTCATGCAGCAATACTAATGTCCTTTTCGTGTTAAACCAAGAATTGTAAACAATCAGACATCGACTTAGTACTCATTCTTGGGAAAAGTTGAATTTTTGAATTCTCCTACTAACGGTTTTGAATTGTTGGGAAGTCTTAGTTTTAAAATACACATTCCAGACTACATATACATTTAAAAAATTTTCCATTTCCACCAGCACATGATGGTACTAGGGTCACGATTGTGGAACGTTGGATCTACCTGAAGCACGATAGTAATTCGACGTTTTCTAGTATTTCAACTGTAATATAATCATGTTTTGGTCAGAATAGAAAAATTTATTTTATGAAACTGATCAGTAAAAAGCCTCTACAAAATGGGATACTTCAAGCTGATTTTGGATAAATTTCATGTTTCTATGACTGGTTATTAGGAAAAAAAGTACCACAAAAAACAATGTTGAATTCTGTATTGAAGTAGGCCGTTCTAAATCTCAAATATGTCAATAAGCTGTTGATTTATGAAGATAAACTTGGAACATCACTCTATCATCAGAAAAAAGTTAGCTCACTTATTCGAAACTGAGTGGAGATGTGCTTATTCTTTTTCGACAGATGAGTTTTAGTACTCCCTGTACATATATCAAGTTAAATTTGGTGAATAAATAGACTTTCATGGTTTTATTAATGTCATACTATTGCTCATACGAAAGTCTTCATTAATGAGGCACTATCTATTCAAAAATATTGATGCGATAAACTCCTTAAAAGAATCATCGAAAGAATCCTCTACTTATCTAGGAACCGCCGCGCTCCCGACTTGATAAGACGCGGAACGGTCGTTCCACTTGATGGAGACGCTTTTGGTGCGGTGGCCGCCGCTCGCGCGTCGTTTTTTAGGCGCGGTACATATTTCTGGTGTGGGTGTTACTTTATGATCTCCAATATAGCTGCAATTTCACACACCCAAAGACCAAACCATACCCACGTCCCCTCTTACCCAACAACACCCACTCACAGCTCCCCACACCACATCCCTTCACTCTCACACGTCTTAAGCTGTACATCACACCTCGCCACTCCCTCACTGCCACACCTCTCACCCTCCGTACCACGCCACACTTTCCTCACTCCTATATCACAACCCCTCACCCTCATACTGCATCCCTCTCACCTCCACACTGCATCCTCCTCACCCCCACATCACACCTACACCCAATACCTTTACTCCACACTCTACACTAGTCCTCACCCAGTTACTCACTCCACCGCATCCCACACTCAACCATGTCATGATGCTTGATCCTTAATCTTTGACCTTTAACCTTTGACTCGACACAGACGCATAGACAGACACAAACTGAACATTACATATATAGATAAGAATATCAATTTTCGTTTCAGCGACGTTCGACAATTATAACAGAAATGAATGTTAGACTTAAAAGCAGATGCAGCTACGGCTTATCTCAATCATGTATACAATATTGAGGAAAAGTTCAAAAAGCCGATGCTTTACGGAACAATTCGAAGACGAATTATTAGAGGATGATGACGATGATGAGAAAATGGATTCCGAGACCGAAGAAATAACTGATTGACAAACAACATCTATTTCTCTTTTGTTGTTTCATATTACCAATTATTGATTTAATAAAAGAACTGCATGTCCAATTAAACATACCAAAAAGATATTTATCATGCAAGAGTCTATTGTGCCATTATACTTTGCGACTAGAATACATGATTGATGATGTAATATAATTAGCATTGCTTTTACATAACAAAGAATAATTTTGTTATAATATGAACATTTTCATTCTATTCAAAATAGTCGAAAATCTAACTATTCATTAATAGACATAGAATTATTGAAATTTGAAAAACTTTCACGAAAGGTTGTTTCAAACATTTTTGACGATCATTGTTGAGTGTATGTTTTTTAAATGATACAAAATAAAAATTTCGGATTTATGTAGAGTTACAGATTTTGAATAGGCAAATCTAACGTACCTCTTATAATTGAAATTCTATACATTTTTCAAAGCACTTTCTGTTGAGGAGTTGTCCGAAAAACAATCATCTGCCTTTTATTTTGAAATGGACATTAGTTGGCACTTTACAGTGGTTTAGACGATGTGGGCGTGAGGGCCGTCTTTCACCTTCAGCTTCACGCATTGACATGCACACGCATACTGATTAAAAATTTGAAAATCATCGATGATTCTGAAGTAAGTACAAAATATGTTTGTATTATCATTAGACACTTTATTTTCTTTATTTCATGAGAAATTCAATTGAAAAGAACAATTATTAAGCTTATTTTCATATATTCAATAGATCTAAAAGATTATGTTCTAATATTATTAAGTTTATTTTGTATTTATTATTTAATAGAACGTGCTCATCTATAAAATCTAAATGTGACAATGGATAAATATTAATTGTTTTCACTTATTAATGTTCTACTGATAAAAAATGAAAAGCTTTTCATTTTTTGTTTTTAATTGAGTGTGTAAAGTTTAAGAATGGAATCGATTATGAAAAGAGCTTAATGCAATAGCAAATGCTTGAATGGCCGTAAGAGGATGTCGATAGTCGAGAGCAAAATTATTGTCATCAATACGACCGAACTGCATAACAGCATTTTCGTCATCTATATTATCGAAAAAAAGTAATGAAAAGCTTGATTCAAGAAAAAAAAACATACGATTATCATTTGGAAATATTAATTGGAAATTTTTATGTGATGGTAGTCTTATACGACTGTCATGCAATTTAAGAGTATATGTTTTAGATTCTAAATTAAAAGAATTATTTTAGAAAAAATAAATTCAATATTGATTAACTTTCATCGTATGTTGGCGCTTTATTTTGCATTTGAATCAAATCCGTTGAACGTCCAGATCGCCATTCATCAATAATTGTTTCACCTGCCTTCAACAAGAAAAATAAATCAGTTTGAACACCATATAAAGAATGATCTATTGACTTTTATTGGTCGAATGTTTTTTCCAGTGTCATGCAACAAAACAGTCAATTTTCTTGGTTCGCTCGATCCAATTATATGTTCATACTAAAACATTTATATTACATTTCAACAAAATAGTATTTATTTTTTTCTTTAAAGTTTTTAGAACTTCTTTAACAGATCAATCAAAAGTAGAAAATAAGAATTTATTATCTTATTATTATTAATCTATAGAAAAATTTGAAAAAAAAATACAAACATAAACAATTACAACATTTCTTTTTTCATATTGATATTCTTCAAAAATATGTAAAACAATCAAAATTTAAAGTTCGATTGAAATAAGTTTAAATATTTGTTTCTAATGAACTCTTTAAGAGCCATCTTAATCACAGGTTTAATAGTTGAAATCAAAATTATTCTAAAGTGAACAGGAAGGATTTCAAAGTGAACCAGTTCAAATTAGAATATTTCAATTTGAACTGAATTTAAATCTATTTTTTGACAGTCTGCATAAGATGAACTGATTACTTATTCCATCTCATCGTAAAGAAAAGCGATTATTAACTGTTACTAGTTGGAACAAATCTGTTTATTAAATTGTTTGATTCAGTTTTCAAGAAATTTTAAGTTTAAATGACCAAAAATGCAAAAATAGAGAAACAAATTCTATGATACAATCGTGATGTTGAACTTGAAAGTTGAATTCAATTATTGAACTAGTGTTTAAGTATCAACTACTAAATGTCGCTTTTCATGTGTTACGATTTCGTGGCACCCTGTGCAAGAGAGATACTTTGCTTGTATTTTGTGAAATACAAACTAAATGGGGTGTTGAAGTATATAGGATAAAAATTTGCATCAACCCTCCATCCTTCCCTCTCTTCACCTCAAAGACCATAACAGACACCTTAGCAACACTCACTGTCCTTTGTATCATAGATTGTGACAGATGTTGTTGATATACAATCGCAGACCGTATATGAATAACGTCTCATTATAATATATGAACTACTTCCTTATTGCGTTTCTAAAGAATTACGTAAAGTAATAGTGAAGAAATGTATCCCAACATAGATAGATTAAAACAATCTTCATATGGTTAGCGACAGTACCTGCGTGGTGTTTTATATTTTAATCCTGCATGAGATGACGCTAACAACATTTTCATTAGTTTTGTTGAAAAAAATTTGAAGAGAAAAATAAAAATAATTTCTAATAACTCACATAAATAATGGCACCTGATTGCTGTTTATTACGTTGATCAGTTGAAGAATTTTGATGATCGTAAATTATGTATTCACTACCAGTAATATTAATACCTTTTAATGCTGCAAGTGAATTATCATCATTTAGAGTTTTTGATGGATTTTCAGAATCAATTCCAATGAAATATTCTGCATGTCCACCAATTGTTATATGTTTTCGTGCGCTCAGAAGGAAAGTCTTAAAAAGAAAAAAATTCGAATGAAAATATTCTTTTTTGTTTTTTATAAATAAAAATACTTGATTATTTTCATTTTGTCCGTCAAAATGCATAGTAAATATTGATTCAAAACCTTTTGTAAAACCTTCTCTAACACGTTTTACATGACATTGAACAAAATCTGAATAATCTTTTGGAACTGGTGTATTTACATATTTTTTTAAATCATTTTGAATCAAATTTTGTACATCAAAATTGGAATCCTTTGATTGATTTATCTACAAATAAAGTAAAATGAAAAAAATAAAATAAAATTCTATATAAGAAAATACATTTGTTTTTGAAGATTCTTTTGACAATTGTATATCTGGTTTGTTTTCTTCTAAATAAATAATTGATTTCGAAAATAAAATAAACATTATTGTAACCTGGTACTACTGGTGGTCCATGAATGGCTGGAATTATTTTATGCGCTGCATTTGCTTGATCATTATCTTCATCAATATCATGACGATCTTCAGCAGTTAAACTAAATATTGAAAAGAAAAATTGAAAATTTTCAAACAAATATTCATCTAACTTTTCAGTTGTTTGCGATTCAGGATTTGACATACCAAGAACGATTGATAAGCAATTTTCTTTGGAAAAAAATTTCTCTAAAATACAAGAAATCATCAAATGCAAACCATTTTATAGATTGACGAAAAGAAAACAAAATTATTTTCTCCAATGTTGGTTTTTTTTTCTTTCTCTCTCATTTAAATTTTGAATGTAATTGTTTTACGTAGTAAAATAAATTCTGTTGCCAGTCGAACACGTTCTTCATCTAGAATCTTCAAGAAATTTCTTTTTTATTTAAATATATTTTACTAGCCTTGCTTGTTTAAACATCTCTCTCTTTTTTTCTTCCTTTCTCTCTTTGCATTCGCTCTCAACATTTCAAGAATAAAAACTGCGACACAAATAAAATGTTTTCAAGGTCCAAAATAATTAAAAAAATAAACTAAAATAAATAAAATGTTTTTATTGTTGCTAGATAATGTATACTTATACAAAAGCTATCGTCGATAAAAGATATCAGAATGAAAGTTTGTCAGCAGAATGTATTTTTCAGGGTTGCCACCTCTTCGCATTTTTTCCTTTTTTTCTGCTTTTTCATATAAAAAACTTTTTTTTTTCATATTGAAAATTTGGTACAGAAGAAAACCTGTTGTTATTGAATAAATCATGATTACTGACGTGCACAGTTTGCCGTCAGTCTTGTTGATTGATGTGCCAATTCAGTGTAACAACATTAAAAGTTTTTCCTATGGAAGAGAAGCTGTACTCTCAATTCCTATTCGTGAAGTAAAAATACCATTCTGCCTTTAACTAATAGTTAATTCTGTTTACCAACTAATGTTACGTGCTTTGATTACCCAGAAAAATCTCAAATCCGAAAATCTAAACAGTTTTCTATGATCAACAGATAGCGAGAAAATCAATGAACGTGAAATTAATCATAAAAATGTAGTAACAATAACAACAGTGCTACAATCAGGTGAAAATAAAAATGTGAAAGTCACAGTAAATGCTTTTGAAAAGAAGAAAAAAAAAAGATGTTTTTAATCAATAATGGTTATTTGACTCTAAACTTGGATCATTTTTACGAGAGTACAAACCGGATGCAACTAAAGTTGTATGCATTGTTTGCAGTGAGCATTTTTCAGTTTATTATGGTGAGAAAAATGGTTTTGATTGGCATAAAAAATTGAAAAGACATATAAATAATATGAAATTCTTCAGTATAAATCGATAATTGATAACATCAACAATAAAGCTAAGCAAGAAGAATGAAGAAATAGCAGTTGCAGAAGATACTCTTGTATGCCATGGAGTCAAACATGATCATTATTATACATCTCAACAGTGCAACACAAATGTCATCAAAACTATTTTCTCATTGTGTTCTGTAATTGGAAAATTAATCTCCTGTGAGTGAACAAAATGCTCCTCGATTGCAGTGAATGTCTTGGCTTCATATTTTACTCAACAAGTTTTAATAGAAGTGAAGGAACCATATTTCTATTCTATCATGTTCGATGCATCGAATAAAAAAAACACAAAATATTGTCCGGTTTGTGTACAATATTTTTCAAAATTTCGGGTAAAGAAAAGGTTGTTATTCTTCAGTTCAAGTGAGGCTGATGAAGAAGACGAGAAAAAAACAAGCAAATGTAATTCAATCAGATCAACTATTGGCAATGTTATTTATTGTCACTGCAACACTAATATCAAATATGAAGAAATTGATTTGCTTTTTGTATTTGATTCTAGCCAGCAATGCCTATGTAGAAGATGCTTTTTCAGAAATGAAACATTTACTTAATGATTTTTGTAATTCAATGTCAGTCGATTCAAAAGCTGCTGAATTACAAATTCGCCGAAATACTTCATTGTCATGTACGAAAATATATAAATATTTGTTGTCTCAAAAAGAGTTGCTGGAAGCAATTAGTTCTTATAATAATAGGTGTACATTCAAAAAACAATGTATTGAATAAAATCTCTATGTTTTGAAACTTTGTAAACATAAAGAAATGCTATAGATAAGAAAAAATAATTAAAACCCTTAGAAATGCTAAAAATCGATAACAATATAAGTTTCCGATGTTTTTTCATTTTTCTGTTTTTATTTGCACTATTTTCTGCTTTTTAGACTTCATGAGGTGACAACTCTGGCATTCTTTATCCAAGTTTAACAAACTTGATCGATCCGACGACAGTTAATGTACTAAATTTTGTATTTTTTGCTTATCGAAAAATTCTAAGATGATTTTCAAGCATTTCTTTTATGAAATATTTTCAAATGTAATACTAGAAAAAATAACCGAAAAGTTTTTTTTTCTAAGAGTATGTTAAATCTCACCTAAATTAACGCTATCCCTATTCTTATCAGTTCTGAGTAACAACCAAGCTAGCTCTTTCTGAATATAGAGCAATAAAATACACTCATTTTACCTTTTATTATTTGGATTACAATTAAATATAATATCATTAGTAAGTTTTTATTCTATTCTCAATCCTAGAAGGATAAGTTTGCAGAACAGAACCCACTGATCTATTGGTCCACGCTCTGTCTGGTCGAAAATTGAAATCACATTTCTCAGTCACAGAAGTGATATTTCGAGGATATATGAAAGAGGCCAATAGATTTTCGAGGGCAAAGAATTTGAATTTGAACTCTATTTTTCTCGAAAGTTTATTTGGGGACTAAGAACCAATAGAAATTGAGCTTTTCGAAAAATGATCTTATGAGAGTAAACATTCTCAAGTCAGTTACCCAAGCATAGGATGTTAACCTGTATCTGACTACAGGAAAAAAACACATATAAATCATTACTACCATCAATATAACACTGTATGGATCATGGAATATTAGATCGTGTTATCGTCTCATCAAACATGAACAGTATAATTGTTCGTCAGTTGAAACGGTATCGAATCAAGGTAGCAGCACTCGCTGGAACTAGGATACCTGGTTTGAGTATCTGTGCAGTGAATGAATATACGTTCATTCATTCTGAATCAGTTTCTCAGTTGTCATCGGCATCAACAAATGATACAATCATGTATCCAGAAGAATTCAGGTTTCCATTGGGAAGTAGTTAATTCAAAAATCGTTATGATTCGTATTGAATGTCGACCTGTATCAATTACAATCACAGCCGTGTATGAACCTGTGAATCTCTCAAGTGGACTACAAAAAAATAACACTGATGTCTGTGATGTGTTCTATAAAACTCTTGAAGCAACGATAGATAAAGTTCGTAAGAACAATATAATTTTGACAATGGTCGACTTTAATGCTCGAGTTGGAGTAGAACAGGACAATACAGCTGAGAAAACTATCGGTAAACATGCTGTTGACAAACAGAATTAAAACGGTCCTCGTTTCATCGATTTCTGCCTATTCAATGGCATTCTAGTTACTAATATGTTCTTTCCGCATAAATCAATCGAACAAGCAACATGGATACATTCAAAAACTAAACAACGGTCCATATTGGATTATATGCTAGCTAATTGTAAATTCAGAGCTAGTGTTCAAGATATACGCATTCATAGAAGTACTACTGGTAGCATTGGAACAGAACATTATTTATTACGAGCTTAAGTTCAGTTAAATTTAAAACGTTGTCATAAAACACTGAAGAAAGATTGGTTAAGATTAGATCATTCAAAATAGATCGATAGTGATGTGCTCGGTAAACAAAAAAAATTCACAATATTTGCTAATTGTGTCCGTGAGCATGACAAGCACTAGTTTGGAGAGAGTAAAAACATTCAACATGGTGATAAAGGATGATTCATATTAGTACTCAAGGATATTGTCGACAAAAAAGCTGAAGTATTTGTGTAGTAACAACGGCATTGTAGCACGGTCAAAGAGAATAAATATCGAAATAAATATCGAATGTTGGCAAAATTAGTGAAGAACAAAGTGTATACTAGACAACATGAATATTAGAAGGAGTTAAGTATAGACATAGAAAATATAATTAAAGTACACGATACAGCAACTGCTTTTCAAATCATTCGAAGGCTCCGGGAAAGCGGTGTGAATATAAGTCACGTACCGACTCAGGACAAGAACGGTATAATTTTAAATGACAGTAAGGATGGATTAAATCGATAGAAGGAATATTTCTGTGAAATACTCAACGTTGATACAACAGTGAATGAAGAGGTTTTACAACAAAACTCAAGTCTCTCCATTGATTATGAAGACCTTTCTTGTCAGGATGCTGTACTAACTCTGGATGATGTAGTAAAAGCAATTGAACGAATGAAGAATAGGAAAGTTTTGGAAAAAGATGACAAGATGAACGATTTGAAATTATTAAACATGAGTATGCTCTCCCACGCGAAAATTAATTTGACTTCTTTTTTAAATAGAGATCATGATGGCAGCTTTCTTTTCAGACGAGCGAAAAAAATTCGATATTTTCTAAACTACAATACGTAGCAAGTATGTGAATGGACAGAAACAAGCTGCTCGAAGTCAACGTAAAAGAACTCGATAAGTTTGTAGTTCTTCCCGTCCGTATATTAGTGTTATTTCACTAACATATCAAAATTCTACATTATAAACTTAGTCAAAATCGAACATCTTGAACAACTGGCTCTGTTACCATTGAAATAAGTGATGATTTGAACATTCACAAAAATAACTCAATCATGATTATCAGTAGTTCATTTTTTTTAGTTCATATTTATTCTTTTCCTACAGTAATTAGTCTTCAATATGTACTTTTGAAATTACGATGTATTAATATGGAAAAATATAAAGTGAGTTTTTTTTTCTCATATCGAGACAATAATTACGAACTGAGTCACAAGTAGACTTATCAAGAAAATTTAACATTGAAGGTTGAATAACTTTACCATCGCTTCAACATAACGTCAATAATGCTATATAATTATAAAATTTACTTGACAGTTTATCTGTGTCATTCTATCATAACTACATGAACAGAATAAAAGAAATGTATTTTTTTCTAGTCTTCTATAGTGGTGATAGAATGACAGAAATAAATTGACAAATAAATTTTATAATTATATAACATTTT